CCCCCCCCCCACACACACACACAACCTTCTCCCTGAACTTGGGCCTTAAGGTTTTAGAACTTTGATATGCTACACTCTACTTCCATTTTGAATGAACAGGAAGAGAAATTGTTTTTAGTTTGTGCCATGATGCCTTATTCCCAGATGCATTCCATTTATTTGATAACATACTCGTATATTCATTGAGATGTATGAAATTTGGAACATGAAAAGTGTGAATGAGTGTGTAGTGTAAGGAAGCTAGAGAAATGGAATTATATTGAATGGGTTGAAATCCTGCTTGAAATGTGGGTGATTACATTTATACAGATTTTGTTTGAGCAGTTTGATCAGAATCCTCATCCATATCTTTGTATAGTTTCAAGATAACAGGACAGAAGGACATCAGGACATCTGACCTGTGTGCTGTAGTTTCTCATTCCTTAGCGCATTTGCTCCAGTATATGCCCACACAAAAAATAATCCCAGCATGGATTTTGGTTGTATGAAGACTTCTCATTCAGAAGAATTGTATTTCTGATTAAGATAATGTATTTTACCATTCTGTCACTAGATGGCGTTCCATCAGGTCCCATCTATTACCTGGCTACATTAACTTTTAATTGGGTGAGAGGAAGTTAAAGAACGCTGCTGCTTGGCCCAGCTGGTCTCGGATTGGCTACACAGAAGAGCGGGAAAACATTTATCAGTGACAGTACATTCATTCAGAGAAGTGTGGTGTAATAATGTGATTTTATTACTATAACTCTTATCTCTGGTTTTTATGTTGCAATGTGAATCTGAAAGTAGAGATTTTTCTGTGAGGCAGAATAAATTCGCATTAGCGTAACTCGGATATTGTCATCGGCATCATCTGCTTTCCCAGAAATGGATGAATCATTACCATTTCTGGACATGTAACTTTAATTTCAGCAGCCATTTTGTCATCATTATATGATATCTGATTTTAACAGTTCTCAAACTGAAGTTAAATTCTTTACGATTCAAATGGCATGGCAGTATTCTTACAATTTTACAGCTGTATAATTTGAATGCTGTTCTTCATCCTCCTCTATATATCGGCCTGTCTGGCCTGTTCCACTTTTGAAATATGAAGTCCGTCTAATGCATGGATAGTGGACATCAGTACTCTTCATTTATGTGGTATCTTTGAACACTTCAGAATTTCTACTTTTCTCATTTGTGGAGTTGGAGGTTCAGTAATTTGAGTAGTTGGTATGGAACATTATACCTAATAGGCTGCTTGATGGGGTACTGGCTTTGACAGTGTTTTGTTTGATTTGGTTGTGGTAATCTCTGCTGGGTCCTTGATTTAAAACTCAGGTATCCTTTGAATATAAACTCCTCTGCAAAATTAGCACGTTGTTATCCAGTGTTTTTAAACACTTTTTCATCGTTTGATCTAGCTGACACTTGCCAACCCTGTAGAAATACAATAAGGCCATGTCTCACCCAGGTATATATATATATATATAGTTTTCTGTTTTCATGTAAGTTGTAACTTTCCATTTGCTGTCTCAGATGTATTTCTCTTCAGGATAACATTTTATTTTCTTTTTTAAAGTGGAAACTGGTTTGTTTATTACTACTGTTATCAAATTGCTTTTCCTTTAAAGAATTAATTTCTTTCTCAAGGCTGCCAATACATTTCATAAAATTGGAACATCTCTTTTCTGTTGTATAAAGATCTTGAATTTCTTCTCTTACTTTCCAGTAGTTACTGTGGCACTTCTGTTTCATTATGATTGTTGCTTACAAAAATGTCTGTTGATTTTTGTTATTGCGAATCTTTAAAGGGTTTGTTAATGGTGGTATAGACTTCACTCTGAGCAGTACGTCTAGTTTCATTTTGTTGCTTTGAAGATGTTCAAAAAGTAATGTAGCTGAGATAATTTCATAACCATATTAATATGGACAATTTCTGAAGATGGCAAGAAACTTTTCACTCTGCACGTGGTGACAAAAATATTGCAGTGATACACTGAATTTATGCAATAGCTTATGTAACCTGTTCATGTCTCTGTTATGGAAACGTTACTTTAACATTCTTCCCACATTTCAAGTTAATGCGATTGAGTAAGATACTTATATTTATAGTTACTGGAAATGTTTGATGATGTCTGTCGCTGTATAGTGGTTACATCATGTTACCTTAGACAAGATGATCAAGAAAAGTTTAAATGATGAATATGGTCTCTTTATGTCATACTGTTGATTGGAAACGAGTGAATGTGTTAGTGTAAGGAGAGAAGGACTGTTTCTGTGATGACATAAAAGACTGTAGAACTGAATTATTTAATTGGTACCCCAGAAATTAGTGAGAGAGCAGTTAGAAAAACATTAGAGACTGTAGAAATGTGACTGTTGTTTTTACCAAGGTCGTCTCAATGGGAGGTATGGGATCCATGTCAGATAAGGCCCACAGGATCCCCTTAGTGTTTTTGTATGCTGTACGTATTTGCTTACAGTTACTGTTGATCTGTCAGATCTTGTGCTACCACTATGTGGCAAGACCATATAGCTTTTTAATGTGGTATTTTTTTTAAATTAAAATTAGAAGAAAAAGCTCAGATTTAAGTAATGCGTTACAGTTGGATTAAATTTTCATTTGTAGCACAAATTCTGCAGATAGTTGCCATAATTATTACTTGAGTGTTTATGGTAATTAAAATTAAACATATATGATTAAAACTAAAATAAAATTACATGGGTTATATCTTTATTTTGTAATGGCTGCATTTCATAATATATATACGGACATGTGGACAGAACTGAAAATTTGAAGTTTTAAGAATATACAGAAATGTTAATTTAAACAGTATCAGCCATTTAATGTTAAAAGTTGAAGTTTTGAGAGAATCTATCAGGAATTTGTAATAAAAAGTTTTCCCAGAAGTTTTGTTAAAGAAAGGAGTAACTTAGTTGTGTTGTAACTCGTCAGATTGGTTGCAACTTGCCACAATACTTGTAACTAACCCAGCTAGCGAAGTAGACCACACTCTTTTGTGGTAACAATATTTGTCTGGTTCACAATCATGTAATATGGCTGCTGTTATTGGAAAACTTATTCATTGCTTACCAAAACCATATGTATATAAGAACCATCAACTTTTTCTGTTACTGTCCAATTAAAGCATGGGGCCAAATTCAACATAACCTTTGGACCCCACCGACTAACACTTTTCAAGATGTTCACATTTTCTTCTTATCTGAACATGTTATGTTTAATCGTGGGAGATTTGATGTTCTCATGTCAGTGACTGAAGATTAATAGTTCTGGGATGTGATGCCATGAAGTCTGGTATAGAGGTTATAATTGTTTTGGAGGAACTTGTTGCCTCCATTTTCATGGCAGAAAGGTATGCTGTGCAGGTGAAATAGGCAAATGGAGTGTCACATTATGTCCATTGGTATGCTTTGTCTATAAGCACAGCCCATTACAGGATACTGTTTATTTTACTAAACTACATGACATAACATCCAAGAAGATCATAATATTTATGTTTAACAATATTGCCAGTTGCTTAAGAAGACTCGTAAGGCATCGGGTGGTATTAGTTTCACAGAAGCAACTAGATGCTTGAAATAAACTAAGAATGTTACATAACACTGCATGTGCACTTTTCCCTCTACAGTGTAATCAGATGACTTTATATTGAAGAGAAGATTAATTTGTTGATATTCTTTATGTTTGTTGTGTGTTGAACTGTATGTTTATACATTTAATCCTTTCAGTGTAGTGAAGAAAAATCAGCGTATTGGCTGGTGTTATCCACTGTCAATTCTAGATATCAGTGCAGTGTTTGATTTATATGTGAGACCTTGAAAACTCAATTTATATCTGAGATTTTTGCTCTGGAATTTCTTAAAACATATTAATTGATATTACAGGGCTTTTGTGTGTTTGATAGAAAAATTCTGTCCGAAAAACTGTGCTTTTCCGTCCATAACATTGAAAGGGTTTATAAATTTTCAGGTCATATGTGATATGGCCCCAAGCTTACCAAAATAAAAATAAAACTAATTGAAAGTTATTATATGTGTGCAGTATTGAAAAATTGTCAAAGAGTTGGTTTCATGAGGATGTTGCAGGGTGCTGCGAAATTAAGGGGTCCCACTTTGGGGTCCTAAAGGTATACCACAATAATAGAACTGTGGATTTATGATTAAAAGTCGCAGAATATTCATACATGTTCATGGGGGTGAAAATTCAGTGATATTCTGTTAGAGTTAAAACTAGTTATTGGTATAAACTGTAAGTGTATTGTGGAGGAGCCCCTCCTCCTCCAAGTAATCATGTTAGACCTATAAGTCTGCATACAGAGTGTTCACAAATATAAGCACTGAATGTGTAGGTACCCCTGATCTGTGTGATAGTTGCGTTTTCCCATAACTCGAAGATACAGACTCGGAAACTTTTGTTACCCCTTTAGTTTGTCTGAATTTAATTTGAACTAGGAAATACACAATTTGACTCGCCCTAATAATAATCATTCTGACAGTTTACAAACCTCTTTTTGAGACATGATTTTATCATCAATTAAAAATAATTAAACTAAATTTATGTAAAATCATGTAAACTGAAATCTCTTAGATTGGGAGGTACCTATGCAGTGCATTGTTTCTGAAAGATTTGTATGCATTATTTTCAGTATATATGTATATATATGCAAATGATTTATCCAATTAGAGTACATATAGCTTTATTTTGTTCACAGATTCATGCACTGTGTTACGTGTTTTTGAAATGCTAATTATCTCGTGCCTTAACATTTTATACTGTTGTTGCTTGAAAGGAAAATGAAAAAAGGAAGAGTTAGAGACAAAGTCTCTTGAATCTCATTCTCCAGTGAAGTTATTACGTGAGATATTGTTTAACCTGGAACCTAATGTTATATGCTGTTAAATGTATGTGTTGCATATTAGGTGATGCTCACATCCCCATATCAAGTAAACATACCTGTGGGAATAGCTGGCCCCCAGGTATTTCAAAATGTACTGTATTTCGTAAATTGCATGTCTATTAATGAAGTGATCATCATCAGAGATCTGAGCTTTTGTGTTTATAAATTGATATCTAACAAAGGTTATAGTTATCAGTACCCATTTGGTCCCTATAGAAGACTGTTATGTTTCATGTAAGTTTCTGTGGTTTAAGGCTCTTGAATACTAGATGTTTCTCCACCGCCTGCCAAAAAGAAGAAGGGTAAATAGGCATGACCATTACTGGCCACATGTTATGCTGTTATAGTCGTGCATTCTAGCAGGCCTAATGTCACATTTTTTCTCTGCAGATGTCATTACCTTCGAGTTAAAATTTACCCCCAAGCACCCTTAATAACCGGTGATTTAAGACAAATATTTCCACACAGTAAAGATTAAATAATTCATTTCTTACTCTAAATTATGTTGTCTGTATTCATTTGTAAGGGGGGCCAGAGCAGTATTTTGAGTCTGAGTAAGAAATGAACCTTTAAAATTAAAATAAAAAAGTTTTGTATTTCTTTAAATCTCAGTTAGTCTGTCATTTTTAGAAACAGATTTTTATTATTATGCTGTTGTGTGTAACGAAGGATATCATTGAATATCACCAGAGGAAAAAATGCTTCATTAAAGTAAACATAAACATGGATAACTTTTCCCTAGTAACATTCTAACTACACCCATTCAGAAATTTCAGGATCATGTTTGGCATTATCTTCACCGACATTAAACTGAGACATCATATTAGATATTTTCAATTCTCACATATTTGGTTAAAGAAATGAACATTTTGGAATCATGCTCTTTTGGTCTGTTAGGTGGAACTGATGTATGTCACAGGGCATGATAGACCGAACTGAAGGAGTTTTTACTGTATCTGTTGGTGGAAGCTGAATCAGCTTCCAACATATTATTTCTTTAACTGAAAACAAGACAGTGAAAATGTCCTCTGTATGTGTCACTAATAGCACAGCTACAGTCATAGACCCCTGGACTTACTATATCGCCATTTTAACTTGCGGAGAACTGTGATTGTAGACATACCAAGCTTCAAGGGTTTGTCTTCATTATACGATTTCACAGGCCAGAAGAGAAGACAAACAAATCCCAAACCAGTCAAGATAGTGGATTGTTATTTTCTGAACCTTCTTTTATGATTTTTTCACATAAAGTGATTCAATAATTATGTGAATAACTTCACTTGGCCCATAGGACACCGTATGGCCATTCATATTACTTTTGACATCTAGATCAGTGAAGAGTACACACTTCATGGTTGTAATGTTGCATAGTTTGCAGAGAGAGTCTGGCCTTTCAGAGGAACATATCGAGCCCATCTCTAGCCAAGCATGAGACCAGTGGAAGAAGATGACAAGCTAAGTGAGCCATGCAAGGAAGATCCGGTCTCTCTGACTGAAGATGGAGGCCGTACGTGTTCCTTTCAAATGTCAAGCTTTCTGCAAACTCCACTGCATTGCAACCCATGGGACCATATTCATAGTCACTACTGTAAGAACCTTAAAGAAAACATATTAGTAAACCTCTATTTTCTGAAGGGTGTTTTGTAAGAGAAGATTTGAGGTTATCACAGTGATGTTAAGATCGTGGTCTTGTGGTTTGTGATGCCGTGTGGTAAGAAAAATTGGTGCCCGGTTAAGGAGGAACCTGCTGCCTATCTTTGCAATGTCAGATCCAAAAGGGCTAATTTTCTTTCATAAGTTATCATAAATATATTCCATTGAGGAACATTTCGATTTCTACGAAAATCTTTGTTCAGCGCATGGGCCTAATGTGCTGACTCATAATATTGTGGGGATATCATACATATCTTTAAACTGTGGGGAGTGTAGTTAGTATGTGATATCTGAACATGATCAGTTTTCCGCTTTATTTTTCTACCATTTAGTATAGTGGTTTACTTATCACCATTAAATAAATAGATTTAGTTTTGTTTGCTGAAAATAAAAATGTAATTGTAATGGAACAATGGTGCCTATATTTATGGCCTATTTTTATTTTTATGTGAGCAAGTATGTGAATATTGTGAACTTCAAAACCATTAAACACTCTGACTCTCCAAAATTCAGTCCTATTTGCTATACATGTAGCTGATAACTGGATCTGCAAATGTTTGAAATATAAACTGCCTTACTGGAAAAGGGACATTCTGTACAATATTAATGAATGTGTATTTCATTCAATTATTTGGTTATGTATTTTACTGTGGTCAGCTTTCTCAGACTTTCAGCACGTGGGTTCATTTGCTATTGATCTGAATAATATATTTCAGCAGTAAATTTTTTTCAACTATTGAATTTACTCTGTAATTTTACTTTGTATAATGCATTATAATGTTGCAAGTAAAATTATTTCTGTAAATGTTGCTTAATAAAACAATGTGTTTGAAATTAGGACTTTGGTTACCAAATTCATCCAGTCTTCCACTTATAACTGCTACTAGAATGCTATTTTGGTCTGATAGGATCGAAATATATAACGGTATTTGTATGCAATATGTTATACATACAATAATGTGTGTTTCATATTATTCAGTGAGCAGTTATTATTTCCTTGAAAAGCATTAACCAGTTGGTCTTTGTAATGGAGACCCACTATGTTTTCTTTGAGGCAGGAACTGGATTCTTACTCATTTCGTACATGTCCAGTCCATCTCATCTTCTTTGATGAAATATGAAGATAATGTGTACAAATTTAAAAGTTTTATTTTCATATTTAGGTTATGATGGCTCTGGACATTGAGATTGCAGTTTTCTGGGATTGGATAGGTAATGTTCATTTGTTTTACACTGAACATGTGTCTTAGGACCCAAGGATATAACCCCCCCCCAAAACAACAGTTACATTCTTAGACATTGTCAAATATATAATTTGTTTGCAATTTATTTATTTTTATAATGAGTTGTTTGTGCCAACTTTAGTGATAGAGGGTGTCGAATGGTCAGCGCGACGAATCCCAGTGGCCGTTAATTTCGGTTTTCTAGACCGGAGCCGCTATTTCCTTAAAATAGCTCAATTATTCTCACAAGGCTGAGTGGATCCCCTTCCAGACTCATTACTTCTCAGATAATCTGGTAGCACTGGGAATCAAACCATGACCTCTGGATCTGTATCCTGGAACTCTGACCACTAGACCACAGCTAACAAGTGGCGATCGCTCAGTCAGTATAGTTCACTTGCGGACTGAAACAACAGTTTGTTATGTTTTGTTTTATGATGAGTTGTTTAGGAGAAAAGTGAGGCACAATTTGATGTTAGATTAGATTGGGGTTCATTTTTAGCCTACTTTCCTTATTGTGGAAAAAATGAAAGTTGGCTTATGCAATCTCCATGCTGTGTCTCTGTGTGTGTTTGTGAATCCCCCCCCCCCGGTTAACTTTTGAATGCCTGAACCAATCTTTGTGACACTGGGCACGTGTATCATGCCACCAGAGCCCATATCAACGGCGTGTTTAATAAATCCCTCCCACCAGTCTGTCTAAATGTGTATCCCTCCTATCGTTGCTAGGCAGAGGTTCGCTAAACATGTTACCACGGCAACGAATACACACAACATAGAATTGTTGGACGCATCATTTTCTACTTGATCCTTATCGTTCTAAAGGAAAATAGGCGATTAGTCCATCCCAGAGATTTTTGTTTAAACTCCATCTTAATATTATTCCCTCTTTTATGCCCGCGTGTTTCTAGTGGCCTTTATCCTTGGAAGTTTTCGAACTACGCGTCAACACACCTTTCCCATTCAACCCATACTATCTGATTTATGATTGTGAACGAAGACTTGAGAAGGAAGTGGTCGTAGGCTGTTTTGAAGCATTTTTGCAGAACCAGAGTAAAGAGACTGAGGAAAATCATAAAGGGAATAGCCGGTCTCAGGTTTAGGAATCTAATTCGGAACCTTCCAAATATGAGAAAGAATTTGTTTCGATGTGAGGCCCCTACAAAGACATTTTACCCGTCTCAATTGGCACGAGGCAATGAGCGGCAATGAACCCGTGGACTGTGAGGAGGGGGCCCCTTATCTGTAGGCGCGACCTGAACGGCCTCTGCTAGGGAGCCCCAGTGCGTCTGCGCTCGTTCTGAACAATAAACGAATTTGTTCTCTAACCGGCCATTAGAGGTAACTGGCCCATTATCGGTTATTTCGAAGATAGGCCGGAGATTAGCAACGCCATAATAAGATCTAGCTGCTGTTGTAAGGTGTCTCGAAAGCTGATACTCTAGCAGGGTGTTTCTCAAGATTTTCCCGCATGGCTGCCTCTAAATTCTCATTAATGGAATAATGCCTGAAGGTGTTTTGAGAACACGGTGCTGAGGAGAACATTTGGGAACTAACAGGAAGGAAATTTCAGGTAAAGTTGTCCTGTGCGCAAATAATTAACCATTACGCCATGAAGGCGTATGGGGGAGTGGATGTGTATAGAGTCAGATATTCTTTACTTCGCTACTAGTTGGTAGGAGGCAAGTTGTCAGCTTCACGCCTCGCCCGCTTTACCCCCATGGAAAGAGCCCGCGGTACCCATTGGCCAGGAGGCTGGATCTGTCCCAGAACCGGCCTGGACGACGTGGAGAGGAGAAAAATCGTATCAATGCCGGGACTCGAACTCCGATCCCTCGACCGTCCAACCCGTAGCCGGTCGCTATACCGACTGCGCTAAGGAAGTCATAGGAGGTTGGAGAATGTATAATGAGTTTAATAAACTTTATTCTTCACCTGGTGTTATTAGGTTTATGAAATGAACGAAAATTATATCAGTTGAACATCTAGCATGCATGAAAGCCCTCAGATATGCATATAAGTTCTTGGTTGGAAAAACATGAAAGGAATTAACCTTTTGGAGGACCTACGCATAGATGGATTATAGTATTGTCACGTGTATGCGTGATTATAGACGGGGTTTCGATTGGTGATTGGATTTATTGAACACTTACACACGCCATTCGTAGCTACAAGTAACTATAACAGCCTCTCTGGTTTACACACTATATATACTGTAACTGCAGCACACGTGAAGTCTTCTATGTCTTCTCTAGTTGTTTCCTGGTAACCGATCCTAACAACGTCTTTACCGGCTGGCGAATGTCCCACAACTGGCCAAACCACGTCATAGTCGAAGTCAAAGCTACTTTACGAGTAGCGGTTTACCGTCAACCAGTTCGTCTTGGCGTCAAGGCCCTTGAGACTCGCGACCAGATTTTATTTTGTCAACTGAACATTTGCGGTTATAGTCCTTATGTGACATCCTCTCTGACGAGGGGATGGGTCTGTCGCTTAAAACTGCTACTGGTTCATGCCAGCACAGTCATTCTCGGGTCCGAGCCCTGTGGTACTCATGACGACATTTTATTGTCTCAGATTCGAGACTCCCCCAACCTGAAGGGCTAGATCCCCGTATTTATTTCCCCCAAGGCATTGGGTTCCCTTTTTTTGTCTCCTCCTACGACTCGCAGGGCTACTGTGGAGGTATACGACCCCGTCTCTACTGGCCAGACCCTAAACTTGTCCCGATTATAACCCCTTGGCACGGACCGCGTAGAAAATACCGCACATTTTTGTAATTCAGTTGTTGCCGTGGGAAAATGTTTTGGGAAGCAGTTACTCAGCAGCGTCTCTTGTATATTTGCTTATCTCGTGGTAGTTGCCCGGCAACGGGTCTACGTGCTACAGTATTAAAACAGGAATACGTAAATATGAATATTCATCTGATAACATTTCGATCATGAACTTATCTAAATTCTAAATAATATTGAAACATTCAGTCTCTGCCTCATAGAAAACATACATGGTCTCAGTTACAAAGACCAGTCTGCTGATGCTGTCAAATAACACCGTTTATGCATTCCGTGAACAAAATTCAGCGTTTGTTTCAGGTACCGGTCCAGTAAATCGCTGATGGATTCGCCAGCACAGTCATTCTGAGTTTTGAGCCCCGTCGAGTCCCATGACCAAATTTTTGTTTCAAGGCCGTTACGTGTTTGGAAATGGGGGCTCCTCTACAACGAGAAGAGGGCAGGCGCCCCATTACCTGTGCTGTAATTTCGCATGAGTGCACCCGCACTCACGGAACGTCCAGGTAAGGGACTGTGTACTGCGATGAATAATAGTTATCTAAGATATGCACTGGATATCTGTCAATGCAGGTTTCTACGTGTTACAGCGGGTGATATTAAAGGTCAGTTCATCAACGCTTTCAGAATGGGTCGCTGGAAATCATCGGGTTCTCATCTCTTGCCACGAGTAGTTAGCCGTTGTGAAAGGGCGTTCGGTCCTCAGCTCTTGAAATTTGTCGTGTGTTCTGCAAGTCACCTTGAATTAATTACGTCATTGGGCTATCCTCAAATATCTGGAGGCTATCATCACCTGACTCATCACGTCTCAGTGTAATGGCTGTCGCGTGTATGCAGACTGGCGGTGAGTCGACCCCAAATTACTTCAGTAACCAAGCCAGAAGTCTGTGAAAGGTACCGAATTCTCTCTTCATGTCTGTTTCAGTCTGTAGTCCTCAGAAAGGCAGTAACTGGAGCATCTGAAGACTTCACAAACGTCGACATTAGATGGCCGTGTTTATGAATTCTTTTTTCAATGGCTCTTCCAACCCATTCATGCTTCTGGCCTCCAATTCAATTCCTTAATCATTTTTTGCAGACGGTAGGACTCCTTGGACGAGTGATCAGAGCGTCCAGTCTCGTGTCCAATGATGTATGGGGGCTGTTTTGCCGGGTTAGGGCGTGGTGTGGAGCCTTACTTTATTACTTCCCTCTTCTTTCTACTCCTTTTGTCATTTTCTCCACTATTTTGAGCTTTCTCATTCGTTCCCTCTTTATTATCTACCTCCCATTTTTATTCCTTGTTATCCCCTTTTGCTTCTCCATCTATCCATCTTCCTCCTCATTTTCTTGTTCTCTCTGTTCCATCTTCTCATATTCATTTCCTCCTCCTATTATTTTCTTCATACTATATACCCTTCTCACTTCTTATTTTTTCTATTCTTCATTTGTTTCCTTCTGTTCCTTTTTATATGCCTCCTACGTTCTGACTCGCTTAGTTGGGCGTTCAAAGTCAGAAAAAGAAGAAACACTTTTATTATTATTATTATTTTTTTGGTATACTTGAGGCTATAATTATTATTAACGCGGAATAATCGCAATTCTGTTTGCTCAAACCCTGTGACGTCGACAAATTAACGTAAGCAATAAGATGTAGTAAGATCGCATTTGCTGTTTGCGTCACACTGCGCATGTCTGGTCACGCTCCCAACACATGGCCATAAAGTGTATGTCACAGGCCGAAGTAATCGCCAGTCGCTTTGAAACAATTGGTTGTGGTGTGTACCAGGTGGCGCGGACTTTGCTGTGTTGCGCCTCCAAAGAAGTGACCATGGATGCACAAGAGAAGCTTCCGAAATCGGAAACTGTACGGTTGCGGAAACGCCACGTGGGGTAAGTGATCACAATATTATTAGTAGTGGGCGCTGGGGGTGGCTACCTCCAGGTATATTTCCAGCAGGAAGAACCAGTTTTCCGAGGAGGGCACTCATATTAATTATATTTAAGCTTTTTAAGACTTTTTCGCTGATTTCCCTAGAGTATTCAAGTTGGGAGAGTTATGATTTTTCTCGTCTTCAAATTTGATTTTTTTTTTTCAAAACTCCCTGCTGAGGGGGAGATGTCTGGTTTCGCCCCCCCCCGTCAGATACGGCACTCTTGGAAATGGTTCAGCTGAGTCACCGCGGTGACGAGGCTATGACCTGGACAACTGGGTCACAACTTCCGGTGTTGACCTGCGCGCTTTTCTTATAAATGTCACACGCGATTGGCCTGAGAGAAATAGTGAATATGTGTGTAAAACTGTACTACCCCAGAGTCAATGTGTCCCCAGGCAGGTCTGTTAGACAAACCTCGGTCCGTCTGTCCATCCTACCGTTTCCCTTCCAAACGGCGAATCGTACGGTAAAGTTGTCCCTGTGCATAACTAATTAAGCACAACACCATGAAGGCGTATGAAGGACTGGATGCATTGATCCATATGTTTTGACTTCGGCACTATTTGGAGGTGAGCGGTTAGCTTCCCGCCCCGGCCGCTTTACTTCCGGGGAAAGAGCCCCCGGCACCCATTTTGTAGGAAGTTGGGTGGACTCCAGAGCTGGTCTGAACGACTTGGAGAATAGAAAATTCTTGACCCTACTGGGATTCAAACTCCGAGCCCGTAGCCAGTCGCTATACCGACTACGTTATCCCGGCTCGTAAACAGCGAATCTTAGAAAAAATAGTGTATAAATGTGAAGACATGGACAGATAACGCAGCGAAAATGTTAATTTTGTTTCATTTTCGGAAATTGCTCTTATTCACAGGGCATTGTCCCATTTGCTCCGAACATGCGCTGTAGAGAAACAGTAGCGTGTGTCTGTAAATGTAAACTAAAACACTTTCTCGAGCACTAAATGTGCAGACGGACACACAGCACCCCACTTTATTATGCATTCACTTTATTAGCGTCATATAAAAACGTATGACTTTTCTAATTATTACTATTTTCAATTGTGAAATTCTTATCTTCTGTGGTTAATTTTTCAAAAGGCGTGTGTATGTAACATATATATATAAATACAGACTGTATGTTCAGCACGGGTAGTTAGTTGGTTGAGGCGCTGTGTTACAAACTCGAATTTGCGGGTTCGATTTCCGATGAGGTCATTAGATTTTTCAGTTGACCTAATCCGTCCAGCCGCACTATGGCCCTGGGGTCGACTCAGCCTCTAACAGAAATGAGCACCAGGGATCTTCTGGGGGGTAAAGGTCGGCCGTCGCGTAAGGCTGACAAACTTACCGCCATGTGTGAGCCGATTATCTAGAGAAAATGTGGGAGCCTCGATGTCACACAACCCTATGGACCTCCACGGCCTGTTATAGACATAGCTTTACCTTCGTTTTACCTTTATATTGTGACATGTAGGCACATGTCCAAGCAACCTTCGAAATACGCAAACTCTATAGAACAGGTATTGCAAGAATTGTTTTCTGTGTGGTCCGTCCCATACCCATTGCTAGGCAACGGGTCGATGAACACATTCCCGCAGAAGCAAACACGCGAAACAGTAGGACTTCTATTGCTATGCAACGGCACGGTAAACATCACAACAATAGAGGAAGCAGTGTTTTCTATGAGTCCGCCTCGAGACTATATAATTAGTCCAGTCGAATACCTCCACCGTACAATAACAAGACCGCAACTGTCAAACAGTAATAAATATCTGGTCACGAGCCCCTGATGGGTGCTTTAGTCCAAGAGAGACTCATTCGTAACATAAGATTCAGACTCAGAAGTCAGTCAGAGAACAAGGGCGAGAATGGGGCGTGGCCTAGTGATTTGTGAAGTGGGTAGATTAGAGGTAGCGCGATAATTGATGGTGACTAAGAGAGACTGTAAAAGAATGTGTCAATAAATCGAATTATCCAATCCAGAACCCGTTACTGTTAGTCACGCAGACAAAAACTCGTGGCAGTGTGTTTTAACAGGCGTGAGAGTAGACTGTCTGTTGTTTCAGCAACAGGGGGACACAAGTGATCGACTTGGACTACACACCGAGACTCAATTCTTAGCGCGGAGATAATTTCGCGTCGTTTACTTCAAGGAACAGGAGAAAACCATGAAAAATCTCAGTTAATTGTAACTGTTCCCCGCACCAAGAATCGAATTCGAGACCTGTTGAATATGAAACACGCCTGAACACACAACCGTCACTTCCAACGATAAAATATTCACGGGACACATCCTGTAGCAATAGCTTGCAGACTTTACACTGCTTACCGTGTCCTTGTGTACTCTTCTGTGATGTGACACAAATTTAGCACTGTTTCGGGGGCACGTACTACCTCCATCTTCAGGGCAGACTTGAAGACAGAGATAGCAGGTTCATCGGAAACATTGGTATGCGGAGTCACATCACAGAGGACAGCAGTGTTCTTTATTCTCCTCTGCGATAACCTCGAAGCTTGTACAAGGACAGTTTTTCTTGAAGTATTTGTATGTCCTGTTATTACTCGCTGGATAAGACAGAAATCAGCGGCACACTCCCATGCAATACAGATAAGACCCTCCGAATTGGTTTTGTGATTGCAGGTCTCGGAGAGGCGGTTACTTCTGTGTATGCCTGATGGATCTATTTCGAAATGACCACGGGCCGTAACACCCCCCCCCAGCCCGAGGAAATATTGTATTATTACAATTATTAAACAGCTATAATTTATTTATAATGTCATTAAATATACCAGATGTTTTAAAAAATATGGTTGTTTGAAGTTGTGAATTTTTAGACGCTTTAAGACACTAGGTAGGTTTTGTAGTTAGAAAACAATTTAAAATAATAATAAAAAAACAATATAGAAACATTTATATAATAACAGAGGCACGCTGTAGGGCAGTTGGTTGAGGCACCATGCTACAAGCCGGAAGGTCGCGGGATCGAATCCCGACGAGGTGATTTTTTTTCAATGCAATAACATTATGTGTTTCTATGTTTATTCCGTGACTATATACGATGGGGTACCCAAAAGAAACCGAACTAATTTTTTTGTGGGCAGAGCTTTTGTAGTACCGCGTTTTGCCGCTATGAGCGCATAGAGCTAACATTCCTGAGTCGATAAGCCGACTAACGTTGCTTCAGAAGGTAAGGACTAGTTTCGGCAGAGTTTATAGTGACAACTGTTTTGTGTGATCGTCGTTTTTGCAATGGCCCGAACACATGAAAATGTTGAAAAAATTCATGAAATCATCGAAGATCGACGACGGACCATTGAAGAAATTGTGGAGCTGTCGGGAGTGACTTGGAGTTCAGTTCAGCGAATTTTGACAGAAGATTTGGGAATGAAAAGGGTGGCTGCGAAATTCGTGCCACGACTGCTGACTGCTGAACAAAAACAAGGTCGCGTGGAAGCATGCTGTGCTTTGAAAGAAGAGTCCCGAAATGATCAAAACTTTTTTTTCAGCATTTTGCTGATGTTGCTGAGGTGAAGGAAAAAACGACGGAGGCTCTGTCAAGCATCACAAAAGATGAATTTAGACAATGTTTTGAAAAATGGAATAAAAGACTAGACAAGTGTGTTAGTGTAAGTAGAGAGTACTTTGAAAGGGATTGAAGGTTTGTGCTTAAAATTTGAATAAATGAGTTTAAAAAAATAAGTTCGCTTTATTTTGGGTACCCCCTCATATATGCTATGCGTACTTGCATGAAAACCTTTGTACTCGGCTATAGCGGACATCGGCGATAACAAGGGCCTAGCTCTGTTGCACAAATCGAATTGGCATCATATCACTCTGTTCCCAAGGCCAGCCGGTTGCTAGTGACCGTTGTGACTGAGTAATGAAGGCCGCTCCATAGCTCAAACGGTTATTCGCTGTCTTCCCACTGCGGCGGCCCGGGTTCGGTCCCGGGGTCTGGTCAAGCGGGATTTGTGGTGGACAAAGTGACGCTGGGGCAGGTTTTCTCCGAGTACTTCGGTTTCCCCTGCCAATCTTCATTCCACCAATTGCTCCACAATCACCCTTACCTATCATCTGGGGCTGGTACAATAGGCCAGAAGTGGCCGCAGTACAAGGGAGTTAGTCCCACCCCACTAGCAATAAAAATAAAGAGGGAGTAATGACGTTTAATCAGAAGGGGACAAGCCAAACCGAACGTTGCTGTCGAGTGTACAGCGCCTCTGCTTCGTATTCGAGAGGTTCCGGGTTCAAATCTCGGCCCAGGGACTTACCTGTCTGATATTGTTCGTGGTTTTCCCCAGTCCCTGAAAACAAGTATCGGGATTAGGCTTCAATCTTGGCCACGACCACGTAATTTCCAAATTATTATTTAATAAACACCATATTATTCAACGCTGTAGTGTGATATGCTTTTCGCGTGTGAAGGTGCGTTAGAATACTCATAGCTCCACCGTAGTCATAGAAGGCGACTGAAGGGGAACCCGGTGCCTGGGGGACATAAATACGGGGATCTGGGCCTCAAGGTTGGGGGTTGGACACAGGGCTGACGAGCTTGCAAAATCCGAACAAGCGAAAACCGGCTGCAGTCTGGCAGAATCTTCTAAGGAAGACTATGGCTCAAAAGAGGGTTGTTTTGCCAGTGATGATGATGATTATGATGATAGTCTGACATACTAACAGCATCTTTATACAAACTATAAACAGATTAAGCACTGCGCCATGAAGGCGTATGGGGCAGTGGATGTATAGATCCACATTTTCTTGACTTCGACACTAGTTGGAGGTGAGTGGTCAGCTTCACACCCCTGCCGCTTTACCCCCAGGGAAAGAGCCTCTGGTACTCTTTTGATAGGTTGGGTGGATCCCAAAGCCGGACTGGACGATATGGAGAAGAGAAAATTCTTAACCCTACCGGGACTCGAAATCTGACCCCTCGGTCGTCCAGCCCGTAGCCAGTCG